ACACACACACACACACACACACACACACACACACACACACACACACAGTCTAATGGCACTAGAGGTGTGGAATTATGTTGAAGAAACGTCACATTGACCAGAGCTGCAAGTTGTGTACATGTTGTTCCATCCGGAGGAAGTAAAGGAGCATTGAGCAAGTGACGTCAAAGTTTTCACCCAACATGGAAATGGCTAAATGTATTACAGAGTTCATCACAACTTTTATTGTGAAGGACTTGCATCTACTTTCAGTGGTTGAAAACCAGAGCCATGTTTCACTTTGGAGCCACAATATTATTATTAATCTTTATTTAACCAATCAAATCCCATTGAGATCACAGATCTCTTTTGCAAGGGAGGTCTGGGCCTGACAGCAGAATAACATGCACGGTTTTAGTCTGTGGGAGGAAACCGGAGTACCTGGAGAAAACCCACGCATGCACGAGAAGTACATGCAAACTCCACACAGAAAGACCCCAGGTCCAACCGGGGATTGAACCCAGAACCTTCTTGCTATGAGGCAACAGTGCTAACCACTGAGCCGTCATGCTGCCAGTAGCTGATGGAACATAATCAATGCCATTCCCACACTAAAAAGGACCAAAAAGAAAAAGTAAGTAAAACTTTATTTATATAGCGCTTCTCAAGATAAAAATCACAAAGTGCTTCAACAAATTAAAAAAAAAAAAGTGCACAAAACAAATTTATCACAAAGGTATCACTCACTTCAGAATGTGATTTATTGTATTTGGCATTTTGACTCAGTATGCTGTTTTAGTTCCAATAATCATCTTGTTTAAATAACTTTTTAAGAGCAGTGTAGAGAAAAATATTTTCTTTCTTTTAGGCCAGATACTGTAAGCTCAGAATTGTGTTTAAAATGTGGCTATGGATACATCAAGATGCTTCGATGCTCATTTTGTAATCATCCTCTGAATCATAACCATCAAATCATGAGATGCCTAAAGATTCCCACCCACTTTTAGCACATTATTTTTGATCAAGTACTGGATTATGTTGCCTTTTTCCTCCTGTGCTGTAACCTACGTTACAGAGAGAAAACTCATAAAAACAGATATATTAGCAATAATCACATGGATGAAGAGCAAGCAACACAGAAGACTCACTTCACCACTCGCTCCCCACGAGATCGGATGCTTCTCTCCCTCCCTCTCCACTTTGCTTTGTTGCTCTGTCTGTCTGTGAAATTGCTGCGAGACTCTCTTGCATTTCTTCCGAACCATAATTATGGACTTGTTTTGACCAGTTAGTCCCTCAACTCAATTTACAACATTTCTTCAAAGAGAAGACAGGCTTTGGGCGAGCCGATTTACCCTGTTGGCACGTACGCAGCTGGATATCTCATCGACTGGAAAACTTGATGATGTGTCTATCTCTGCTGCCATCTGTGGATTTTAAGGACACATATTTAATTGGATTTTCGATAACTGGTTCCTGCTTTTTGGATTCAGCTGGTGCTGGTTTTATCTACAATCAAGGAAGTCGTCAGCAGCAAATTTGGACCCGATCACGCTGCTTGCCTTTATGATGGCTTGGTTCATGTCTGGAGTACCCGGACTCAAATGCTTTGGGCTGAATGGATCAAATCTTGGGGATTTTTACTCAGACACGTTTCCATCGGTGTTGGCCATGTTAATTTGGACATTTCGGAACCGAGTGGACCAACACAGACTCAAGGTTGATGCCATTAAGTTCTGCCTGTCCCCAAAACAACTGCGTGTTTATCTAAATTTGGTCGCCTTGGTCCTTGAAGGCGATCTTATCTAAAGTCGCCTGGAGAAAATGTGATCCGACGTTCACCACCCCCTCCCTGAGGAATTTCCAACTGATAACCAGATGAAACCCTGCTGAAAAAACTTTGTCATCATTTCAGGACTCTGGATTCTTATAGAGGTTATCCTTGGCCATTCCTCAACATACCTCGAGAATGTTTATGGATCTCACCGGAGGACATTGACTGATTAGTGACCTCCAGAGCATCTGTAGGCGTTGTTGACCGCTCTCGTCTCTTCCTTCTTCGTGCTCTGCAGAATGTCTACGTAAATATGTGCTTGTTTGTGCGAAGTGTTTTTTTCAATATTAGGGGTTTTTCTCAGCCAAGAAAAAAGTCTGATAGGAATTTTTTTTCGCCTCCAACTCCTACATGTGTCCAGTTAACCACTGTTTTTTATTTGTCCAAACAGGTCTCACGTGTAAATGAGTCTTCGAGGCTCAATGTGATTTATCTGTTTAAATAAAGGTTGAATGAAAAAAGACGGGACAGAATCAACCAAAGTAACTCGATATCAGCTCTTAACTCTCTCGATTAATCCAACTTGTCGGATTTTCTGCACAAAAGATGATTTGATTTTAAAACCCTTGATTGAACTGATGATGAGTTACCCTGACCACAAAAAAACAAACAAAAAAAACCAGGTAACAAAAAGAATGGGAAACAAAGCTTGGAAGTGAAGCGGGCTGCTCTGGACCGTCAAAGCATTTGTAACGTGAAGGTTTGTCCCACAGGCGCAGCGCTCACCAGCAATGAGGCGGAAACACAACAAAGAGGGGGAGAGGGATGACTGGTGACATGAGGAGGAAGAAGACTAAAGGAATAGGTTTGTTCTCTCGGTTTTATTGTGGCATGTGGCGGCACTCACCGACTCCAGGCCCGGTGACGGAGCTGGCTGGCTTGTTTTGTGCAGAAGCGGCTGCGGCCACGGCAGTGCCGTATCCGCCCTTACAGAAATCCCCACTCCCTGAAGCCTGGCCCACATCCTCATAGCCTGCAACAGTCAGACACACAGCCGCAGCCCACAGCGTTAGACACACCAGGCAGGGGAGGCAGACCCGCTTCAGGTAGCATTTGCAAATAACTTCAAGCTTATTTGTTTAAAATCAAACTTTAGACAGGTTTTACCGAACCACGACAACACAGTCGGTGAGCTTTTACACCAACTGCAATGTCCGTGCGGCAACACCTGTTAGTCCGGTTCAAATCGCCTGGACAGAATTGACAGACATCATTTGCAAATGCTCTTTGACCCAAGTCTGAGGGAAGGAAGTGAGGGGAACAGGGGGGCAGGCAGGGTGTGTGTAGGGGGGTGGAGAGCGAGTGCGAGTTGGGTAATGGCAGAAAGCAGCAGATGATGCAGCTTAGAACAAATAGGTGTTGCACGTGGTGGATATTCAGTGACAAAGAGGGGAAAAAGATCAAACAAAACACGGACTTAAAAATTAAATATAAATTCATGGAATAAATTTAAGAATAACTTAAAGGAAAAAAGATCAGCAGAAACGAGTTGAATATATAGTGAAAATGGGAAGACAATCATCTAATTTGTGGTTTAGGTTAAAGGTTGGAAGAGATGTGGTTAACATTAAAGGTACTGAAAAACTCCACTTTCTGAAATAAGCAAAGTGAGCCATGAAAATCAGCAGGAAACCAATAATCTAGTCCCTTTATTCTGAAAACTGGTTTACAGGAAACCACAAGATTAGCATCATTACCCTCGCTCTTTCGCTTCGATATTTAAGAAATAGTAACTGACAAGTTTTCTCATAGATGAGCTTCTTGAGAGTGCATGTAACAAAAATGTACTGCACTAGCATCCAGATGTTAAAGATCAGAACACATGAAGATTTCGAGCATTTTTGACATGAACTATTACAAACTACTACACAAATACCATGTTTACACTGAAATGCATTCTCTACACCATTAAGAAATAAATAGGCTTATTCTGCAGTTATTGTTGTAAAATGTATATAAAGCAGGAGCTGCCTGAACCTCCAAACATGCAGTTTTATTATCCTTTAACCACTCACCAGTGCTGTATCCATGGGAACTGTAGCCACTAGCCTGCTGGAAGGGTGTGGCGGATGCGTTGACGCCAACATTAACACCGTGCTGTTTCGACGAGGTAGGAGCCACCTGAACACAACATGAGGTCAAACTACTCAAACAGAATTTGGTTTTAAAACTTAAAAAGCCAAAACAAAATTAATGAATATCTTTGTGCACAACAGCAGTTAAAAATAAATTGTTTAATTTAATTGAAACAAGTATTTTATAGAATATTTCACAGACACTAATAGAAACTCAATAACTATTTGTTTGAGAGCAACATTAACATCAAATGTAATTGACTGTATCTGTTCAAACAAGGCCAAACCAAGCAGTTAAATCTAGTCCCAAATAAAACCACATATGAACGTCAAATATACATTTGACTTAAAACTAAGCAATAAATTGATCCAGCTTTTTCTGTCAGCACTGTTGGAACAACTTCTATTTTGTACAGAACATGACAAAAAGCAGCTTCATGAAGGTCTGATGATCAAGTGAGTTAGGGCCACCTGGCTGGTATTTAGCTTTATGTCGTCCATGGAAGCAATAAGGTATTTGTTTTTATTGCCCTCCTATGTTATACATGGTTTTAGATCTTGTCAAGTCAGTTATGACAAATCACAAGTTGTTGAATCTAAATAATTTTTTAAACCTGCTAAGAAAATATTAGGTCTCGATACTGTAGACTGGATTTATAGATCGAATCGAGATGTTGGATGATTGATTGCATGCTACGCTCTAAGCTAGTTTGGGTTTTAATCAACATTTTTTGAAGTACCTTTGGGTTTATTTGTTCTAAAACGGCCCTGAACCTGAAACATTTGTTGTTTTTTCCTTATTTAACAACTTTCCATCTTCTCGGTCATTTTCCAGCATCAATATTGTTCTGTTCCTTAAGATATCATATCCTATAAACACAGTGTGTTTGAGCAATAAGACGCAGATCGGTGAAGTAAGCTTATAGTTTCTCACCGGAAACACAGCAGGTCCGTACTGGAAGGTGTTGGGCAGGCCTGGCATGCCAGTGTAATACGGAAGGCTTGTGTAGCTGTAGCCAGGAGGCAGCGCAGGATTGAGGAAGGGCTGCTGTGCAGTGTGGTGCGTCTGGGTCTGATTCTGTTGAGTCGGAGCTAATGTGGTGGCTGGAGCCGGGGATGATGCATCACCTCGACCGAACTTTGATAAGTCCCCTAAAAATACGTTGAGAGAAAGAGTAGATGCAAGCCGTGGAAAACAGTGTCAAACATCAAAAATATGATGAACAAACTGTCACGCATGAAAAGACAAATAAATATAACCACCAAAACACAGAATCATCTTATTAAATGTGAGAAAAAGATGCATTTCCCAAAACTTTTAATAACACCATCAAAATATTCACCGTTATCCACCAGGTGATTTATTAGATCAATTTACAACACACTGCAAAAAACAGTAACTGTGCAATGAAAGGCAAAAAAATATACAGGTATTTGGCATATTTTGCTTTAATGAAAAATTGTGCGTGTTCATTTTCTACTTTTACTAAGTCAAAAGAAGACTAATGTCAAACTGGTGTATGAAAAGTTGTTTTAATTCCAGCTTTAATTACTCTAAAATAATCTTTTGCGCTGTAATTTTTAGAAGTCACCATTTCTGACACACGCAGATGAGCCGAAACCTTTACGGTGCATAACACGCCTGTCAGTAAACTATCAGAGTAATCAAAGCATGACTTCTCTCACAGCAATTCTAAATATGAGTCTATTAAGTACATAGTGCATGACTGTGGTGGGGTGAAAGGTCAGTTTCACTCATGATTGTGTCCAATTGACAAAAAGTTCAATTAAAGAACATGAAACTGCAGCTTGAATTTACTGCAGCGTGAAGAACTGTTGATGACAACCAGTCAAACCATAAGATCAGAGTAGTGGTCTTCATGAGCACCACTCAAGCTTATTTGATGGAAGTGGCCTTGATAAAAATAAGATCCAACATGAAGCCATAGTCTGATGACATTTATGTCAACATTTGCGGAGTTACACGATGGACAACTTACCGTGGACTGTTTTATGAACGGGACAGGTAGAGACAATCTATGGCTCAAAAGGTTTGACATTTCTACTCAGTCAAGCTGGAGCACAGACAAGATGTTAACAAAGGGGTCACCTCTGAACTTGATCTTTGATCTTGAAATCAAATAGGGATCACCCTTGACCCATGACGTGTCCAGCAGTGCAGTTTGACATTTCTATGTTAAAGGTTTATTGATTTAGAGCTCGGACAAGAAATTGTCCACAGATGGACGGCACCATAATAAATTTTGTTCCATCTTGGGACGAGCGTATAAGAACACTGTTTGGAGCCCGGATGAATGGATTCGTTTGTCATTCCAGCTGCTAACATCTTATTTACGAATACCATATGTCGTTAAATCAGCCTAAAGGTATGTTTCAAACACCAACCAAGCTCCGACGGCCAAAGATCTAATTTAAGCAAGTTAGTTCAAAACTGGCATGTTCTTCAAACAAATAAGCAAATTTCAAATAAAAATAATATAACTTAAAGCATTTATTTGGATAAACTCTTTTTAGTTTACCAGAATAAGGATTGGTCGTCAGAGCTCCCTCTCTGCCGGTCAGTGCTGTCGTGGGAGTTGCAAATGGGATGCTGTAATAATCCTGAAAAACAAAAACCCACCACAAGCCATTATGAAGTATGACTTGTGGTTATATTTTCTCTTATCTTAGTTAAACAACCTTCAGGTAAACGAAACTCACCAATGGAAATCTTGTCTGCAGCATCTGTAGGTCATCATAGCCATACATCTGAGGCTGCGATGAAGGAAAATAAAAACATCAGAACATTGTGTTCTAAAATTAAATACATGACAAGAACATCTGATAATCTCAGCATAAGGAACAGCTTGAATAAAAGCATGACTTGAGGTGAAAGTTCACAAATAAGTTATCTGGTTTCATCTTGTGTTTTTATCTCGTTTTTAAAGCCGAGTGGTTTTATCTCATTTCCTTTAAAGCACTGAGCACCTAGTCATTTTTTATTCATATTGGGTCTATTGTGTGTACATCATGTGTGTGTTCATTCAAATCTGTGTTCATTTGTTCTCATTTGCTCACACAGACTCATGTTCGTGCTGCTGTTGTTTGGCGCATTGTTTTTTTACTATTAGTGCTTAGTACATTCTTAGTTTAGCGTATTTCTTAGTTCATATCTTGGATCTTATTACCGTTTTTCTTTAGAATTTGTATTTTTGTTGGATGTAACTGGGACCCTGTGTACATAGTTTTGTTCCACCTCATGTACGACATGTGATGTGAATGACAGTAAAGACACCTTGACCTTGATATGTTTTGTATATGGAAAAGAAAGCGGACTAGCTTCACTGTAATCAAATCTACCTATGGGTACGAATAAAGTTGATTGATTGACTTACTGGGTAGGCATGAAGTAGACCAGGAGCCATAATATATGGGTTTGGCAGTAGAGGGGGCACTCCAGGTGGCAGGTTTGGAGGAGCTTTCCCTGTACGACAAAAATCAAATAAAAGCATTTTAAAAGATGAATAATTACCATTAAAACATTGGCACAACTGGTGACTTGCTGACAATAAAAACATTGCTGACTCTGACTTATTGCTTCACCATTTACAACTAAAAACTTTTATCTTACATAGTCAAACATAAAAAAAAAAAACCATGCACATCTGATTTACTAATAAACCACAGTACATTTAACTATATATTAGACAAATACATTAAAAAATGTTGCTTCAAATCAGTAATTCAATTTTCCAGTCTTAGTGGATTAATAAACGTCGAGACTGAAATAAACATGAGCCAAATGGAGCTCCACCAGAGTCCAAAGATGCCTTTCAGTCAAATGGAGCCATGTTCATTACTTCTCGAGTCAATCACAAAATATTTGAGCAATCTTAAAACGGTTAAGAAACAAAGTTTTGCAATGATCCGACTACCCTAAAAATTGTATTGTTATACAGTAGTCCCTCGTTTATTGCGGAGGATCCGTACCCTGAAGACCTGCGATAAGTGAAAAAAACACAAAGTAGGAATAGTAATATTCTAAACAATGTTTCTAAACTCTACACATTCTAAAACAGCACAGAATATCATGATTTCAGCTTCCTGCCTCGTCTGCTCTTTGCCACCTGCAAGCACTCTTGGCCACGCCCACTTTTCCTGCTCTGCAGGTGAACGGCTGATCACCTGATCAGCTGCAACAGGAAGCTTATCCTGCAGCAAAATGGGCTGCACAAAGGTGCAGGAGGTGCTAAATAATTGAAAATAATTTATTTTAAATAAAAATTCCATGCTGATCGTGCGGCTCATCCATCAATCAACCAATTGTGTGCCATGTCCAATCTTAATTTGAAAAGCCGCGATAGAGCGAATCCACGATAAATGAACCACGAAGTAGCGAGGGACTACTGTACATCGATGCAAAGCTTTAATATGCATAAGAAAACATGGAGTAATCATTTGTTACCTGTTATAAACAAAGTATAACTTCTAGGTTTTTTTTAAGTCATAATTTATTAAAGCCCTAAAAACACAACAGATAATATCAATTGAACATGATAACACAACAAACAGACTGGACAGCTGTAAAAGAAAAAGCTAAAGTAAAGCAATGAGAAATAAAGAGTTAAATATTAGGTATTTCAAGAAAGGCCTTTAAGAAGCTGCCTGACCTGAGCATGCTGCAGAGCTTCGTGTGGAAGGTGTAGCTGAAGAGGGAATGGCTGAAGACATGGTGGAGACTGAAACAGCAGCGGGGGCAGATGATGGGGCACCCATGGAGGCAGCGTTGATGCCCATGGTCAGGTTGCTGACGGGGCCTTGGCCAGAGGGCGTTGAGACTGTGGCAGGGCCTACTGAGGAGGCCTGAGGAGCCCCCAGTGACACCTGTGCAGCAGCCATGGAGGAAGAGGAGGAAGGTACTGATGAAGGCGGCACAGCCGAGACAGAAGTGAACGAGGAATGCAGACTCAAGTCACCATCTACACTGGGATGCTGCAAAGACAAAATACAGACGTGCTTAAGATAGATGAAATTACATTTCCATTAAAGTGAGTGGACATCTCATGTGTCCACGTAAACCACAGGAAATCCAGCTAACAAGACAATGGAGGGGGGAAAGGCACATAAACGATTCATACTTCCTGTCTGTGGGTAAAAAAATTAATTAATTAAAGAGCTCACCAATAAGCTTGAGTTGGATGTCCGGACTGAAGATGGAGCAAGGTTGTTTTGTTGTGATGGATGTGAGCTGTAATGGTTCACAAAACAAATCAAGTTGCATTTACGGATACTTTGCTCAAAGAAATCCAGTATAATGGATTTCATTTATCTGCATCTTACTTGTGCTGAGGAGGGGGAATGGAGCTTGAGGGCAGGTCTTCGTTGTGCCCATGAGCGCTGAGTGATGTCTGATTGGATGTGGTCAGTAACGAGGCAGGACCCGAGCCGCTGTCTGCCAAAGTGCCCATGCTGGAGACGGACGATGGCGTGACTGAATCAGAAGCTGGCTTTACTGAAACTGCAGAACCTGATGAAGCCATTAAATTAAATATTAACTTTTGTAGATTAAATGCAAACGAAAAGTCTAATTGTACAAATATTTTGAAGGACAATAAACTTTTACCTTCCACAGACTGAGCTGTTTGTATTGAACTGTAACCATTCTGTAAAACCAATGATGAAGATGAGTTCACAGGAACAAGTCATCGATACAAAGTTTATGCTGTTTAGATCTGGTATCATCATGTATCCTAAGTGACATCATCAGACGTACAGCTCAAAGAACATCCCATCTGTTCCATAGTAAATATTTGTGAGCTAATCTCAGTAACTCGCTTCAAATGTAAACAAAATCGAGTTTATAATCCCAATGTTAACATGAGTGGGTCTACTGAGGATTCTGTAAACTCAAATGCATCCTGAACAGATTAGTCAGGTGTGAAGAAGCAGCTCGGTGTGCACTCCTGCTCCAAGTGAAACAGTTCAAAGACAAAACCTCTAATAAATAAAAGACAAACATGACATTCTCTTTAAGCTTTATCAAACATCAAAACAAGTAAACAACCGTTTAGAAACTGCTGTTGTGTCTGTGTAGTCACAAGGTGAACAGGTGATCTCTTCTGTTGTAAAAATGTGTATATGGCGTTCCAGACCATTGTGAATGTGTCCCAGGAGGTCAAATCAGGAGTCAGATTACCCACAAAAGCATCCTCATTGTCTTCACGTCCGTTTTACTTTTTCTTTTGATCTGATCACTCAGGATGCATGCTAACTCAAAGTTGGAACAGCACTTTTGGAGAGCAGTCAAAAAGCTTATTTAGTGTAACGATAGGCAAAGTTTGACAGCAATGGCTGAGAAAACCTCAAAACACAATGAGAGGATGGAGTAACACCATCTTCATCAACATTTTATAACTACTGCTTAGAAATTTCAAACTAGTCCTGTTAAAAGCTTTTTACCTTACATGAAGAAGCTCAAAGTCGAGCATGTAGCTCATACTGGCTGCTCCTCCAAACCATTATGCTAACATAAATAAATATTTCGTCTTTTAAGTAAAAAGGGTGAACTTTGGTTACCTTTGCCTGCATATCCTTCTGAGGAGAGGAGGAGACCGAAGGCGGGTAACGACGCGTTTGAGATGCTCTCTGATCATACATGTCCATTTGGCTTGAGTTGGAAAGAACTGGTGTCGACTCACTGCAAATGGTAATTATCAAAACAAATTATACATCGTGTGATCCCGACTTTAAGATTTTGTTCCCTTTCATCCAAAACAGTTCCCTTTACACATGTTCATACTTTATAAAGTCGAGCGTTGGAATTTACAAACCTGCTGGGACTCGTGTACAGACTGTTCTGAACTTGGTTACCCGGTGTCGTCGTGGCAGGAGTGGACTCATAGTCTTGTAGAACAGGTTCTGACCCAAACTGCAGCGCTCCAAACTGGAGGTTGAGGCCCGAGATGTCCGTCGATCCAGGCATCTCGACTGCCATTGCTGGGATCTAAAAAGAATAAGGAAAAATGTTGGTGTTCTTATTGTTAACACAGCATCATAAAAGGGATGTTTGTTTCCTTCATTTATGGGGAGTGGTGGTGCAGAGGTTAGAGAGGTGGGCCTGTGATCGGAAGATAGCCGGTTCACGCCCCGGCCCAGATAACATTTAAAAAAAAAAATTGTTGGTTGGGTAGGTGAAGCACCACTTGCCCCCACCCTCATTTGCACCACTCTGGGCCCATGAGCAAGGCCCTTAACCCCCCATCTGCTCCCTAAACAGGTCTCTCTTGAAAATGAGTTCTCGTGGCTCAATGAGACTACCTGTATAAATAAAGTGTAAATGAAAAAATTATTAAATTTTCAAAATTAAAGAAGAATCGAGATGGGTACATTTAAACTGGATGCTTTGAACAATAAAACATTTTTCACTATCATAGTCATAGGGATTCAAACCATCAATTCAACACAAATTAAATCCACTGAAACAAAGTCACCAACTCCTTTAAGCATTTCGCACGACTCGAAAACAAACAAAAAAAAACTACTTTTCCTTAAAAACTTAAGACTCAAATATCAGCTCTGCAATATCTACTGGCCCTTTCAGATCGAAATGATTTACAAGTCAAGACCGTAAACAGGTCACCAACATGTCTAGAACAAGTACAGTTTGGAACAACTTGTTCCTCCTTGTAGCATTTTAATTTTTTTTTCCGCACCGTTTCCTTCCAGCTCTGAATGTTACCTTTGTTGTGATAGAGGTTCTCTTCTTCTGCTGTTTGAGTTTGTGTTGCTGCAGAGGCAGTGGACTTGAACCCTGGTTATCTGAGGAACTTGGGGAGACCTGCTGACCTAGAGATGATCCAGCTGCCATTTTGGGAAGGGAGGACGCAGGTGGTGGCACCGCGTGGGGTGAGGATGTCGTTTGTTGCGGTAAGGATGATGACGAGGAGACGGGGGAGGAAGGAGGCAGCCCTTTGTCCTGCAGGAAAGCATCCAACATGGACGAGGTTGACGTGGCAGCCTGGTAGGGCTGTCGCTTTGTAAAGGGTGTATGGATCCCAGACTCCGACTGAGTCTTCAGATCTGCACAGCAGTGAAGGGAAAAACGAGATTAAAGCTAAAGAACTGCCTGAAACCAGATGATTATAAATACTTTAAAGCTCAATAAAAGTGGAATTTATTTTTTGATTAATGCAAAAAAAACACCGTTATCTCACCATATTGTCCCAATGTGGAGGCACTGGTGTCCCAGGATGAAGGAGCTGTACTGGGAGGTCCTGTCTGGGAGTGCTGTGCAGCCAGCTGAGCCAGTGCCTGGGCTGTTTTATACTGCTCCAGGAACTGGGAGCCAGTGGTCCCTGTGCTAGCTCCTTTGGGCTCTCTAACTTCTCCATATCCCTTGCTCAACATGCCGGCCTGCAGTGTGGGAGGATTAGAAAACACCTTTTTATCACAACACAACTAAAATCAATGCAACAGTGACGTATCCACTATTAAGTAAGCAAGTGGTTTAGATGAAAGGTCAAGAGAAAGTGTGCATCAGAGCTGAGGTACATGAAGTTGTCCATTCATTAAACTTTTCAGCGTCATTGCAGGTTCTCACCATGCTGTGCTGGGAATAAGGAGGGTTGGAGGATGGTTGGGAAAGTGGCACTCCTTGCTTGGAGTTGCTAAAAACCAGAGACTGAGACAGAGAGGGGGGCTGGGTGGCCTCCGTGGGGGTGTTTTCTGTCTCTGAGGAGGAAGCAGGAGGAGTCTTCCCCAGCAGCACCGCAAGGTCAATCCTACAGACAAAAAGAAAAAAGTACTTGTCACTTACATATATACATAACTTGTTATTTTAATGAAGTAATATCTAGTGCTGCTGATGGCAGCAATGTTTGTTCTTAATCAGCAAATTATTTTCTTTGCTTGGATGAGAGTGACCACCTCTGTCCTTTGGTGATTGTAACATTCTCTTGAGGCAGAGGCACTGATGCCACACTGGAAGCTGTGAAAATCTTAGTCTCCGATAGCTGCAGAAGAAAAAAACAAGATAAAGCTGGAGGGGATAAAGTAAAACACCCGGGCTAAACAGAACCAATTCTCCCCCAGCAACATTACTGTAAATATGGTTAGAAAAGTGCTGATACTTTTCAAATATGAACAGTATACTCACATCTTCATTCCAGTCCTCAGTACCCCACTCCTCCGTGGCAGACCTCCAGGCACCTGAGAGTCAATAAAACAGTTGAGCTATTTGTTGTTAGGCAAACAGAGCATCAACTGACAGAAGTGTGAAAGGAGGCTCACCAGGAGCAGAGTCAAACTTGGATGGGTAATTTGTTCCCTCTCCTGCAGAGTACTCCAACCCTGAAAGTAAAAAAATAAATAAAAAAATTGATATTACAATAATGCAACACAGTAGCTTTGGACAAACGAAACACTGATGGAGACTCACAACCCGACTATTGTAGAATGAAGGTTTATTTTATTTGAGGATTATCTTTAAACCTGTCAAGCAGGGTTTTATGGCCCATAATGTGGTTTCAGTTCCTACTTTAATAAGACTCTCATCAAAACAGTTCAGAGAAATGGCTGCACAGACCAGCCCGTCTTGTACTCTCAATGGCCATTCATAAATCACTGATGGAGACGGCCATGTTCTGCACAGACATGAGCTTTCAGACATGAAGGAGAACCGTGGAACCAAGAGAACTAAGCTGGGCTGATGTTGAGTGCAATGCATTAAATGTGAGACCGACGTCTTCCGTGTATCGTTTTCAAAACACAATGAATTAACTCAGTTTAACAATCCTCGTTGTGGTCAACTGCTTTTTAAACTAAATGTAAAGTTATTGCACCTCATTATTTATAATCCCTTGGTAGCAAACCTTGTTTAATCTCACATTAGGGTGGTCGCACAGATCATGTCATCCCTTCATCACATTAACAAGCTGCAGCACCAGCTTACTTTTTCACGTGTCTGTCATTTTGCTTCTTACCACCTCGCTTGGTGGCACAGAGGCGTACCTTCGACCCACCTCATGCCTTGTGAACGAGCCTATGGCTACTGCAGCAGTATGACACCCATTTATTTTAACAACTGTTTTTGCACAAATATCTGGACGAACATGAGAGAGAAGCACAATAAGACTAGCAGTGAGTAATGTTCAATAAAGAAAACTTCAAGGCTTTAAAAAGCAAGCAAACCCTTCTTTCATCTTTACCACAAACTTCTTTGAAACAAATAATTACTCAGACACTAAACAGATTTAAAATATTTTCTAAACACGCACACAAAAAAAAAATTAACCTACTTGCTCCTTCCTCCAACTCCACGTTTCCCGTGTTGTTCCAGGTGCTGCCCCCTCCATAGTTTTCTTCTGTCTGGGCTGGCTCTGCATAGTCGGCAGGATTGAATGTTCTGGAAAAAAAGAGATTTAAAAAGTGAGTCAAGTGCTGAAAATCTACTAACAGCTTAAGGTATTAATCATAGTGGGGAGAACAGGGTAAAAAAAGGAACAAATGCTGAGCAAACACAAATGTTGGGGATGACTCAGGGCTAATGAAACACCCAATTTTAGCTCATATTTAAGTATTTAAGTGTAAAAACGACATTTTATTGCCATTTATTGCATGCTAAGAATAATTAACTGTTGTGGTCATCTTGAATTAATTTGACTCAAAGTTATTCAGTTATAGATGCACATCCAATGTTTCCTTTGAGTGTTTAATAAAAATCCATCCAGTGGTTTGAGAAATATTTTGTTAACAGACAAATGAACACAAATTTCATGACTGACCACCTTTCATGGAAGCGGGTGATAAATCCTCACTGCTTCCATTATATTGAAGTTTTTTATTAAACAAACAACTAGACTGAACCATAAAAACCTTGAAAAAAACAATTATACAATTTGAAGTTTGTATAAATAAAAGGACCAGCAATAAGTAAAGCATCCAAGTACTGTGTATTTCCTCAACTTCACCAGTGATGCATCTCTTCTACTGGTTTGACATGTCATTGGACGCTGGGAAAATTAAAACCAGTGCAACATGTTGGAGAACACCAAAACAACCCAAGCCGAGAAGCTTTTGGTTTCTGTCCAATATCTTTCCTGTGCAAATCAAGATGCATATAAGGCTTGTGAAAACAAATTAAAGGTCACATTTCAATAAGGTCTCATATTATTTTGAAATGAATATTTAATTTTAATTAAATGTGCAAAATTGTCCAGTTTTACAACACCTTCCATTTTACTCTTGTAAATGAGATTTTTAATCGCAGTGAGTTTATCCTGGTAAATAAAGGATTAATAAATAAATAAAAAAGATTTCCTTTGGTACATTTTCCACAACAAAAATATTTTTTAAAATGTGTTTATTTCATATGCACTATATAAACTGCACTAAATATCCAAACACTTCAGAACTAAGGCTGTTCTTAAAATTAATGTCCTACACTCCACTAAAACTGATTCTTTTTGACCGTGGAAGGAGTCAGATGCTACAATGATGGAGACAAGTATCCCGTGTTCATGTGTAATTATTATATTGGTGTGGTAAACAATCATGTGTTGCTCTCACAAAAGTTTTAGTATTACTTCCATGGTATTACCCACAGTAGAAAACCCCACAAAGACTAACTGAAAAGCATTAAACATAAATAAAAGGAAATGCACTTGCACCTCAAATATAAACTGCATCTCAATCTGGATTTAAAGAAAAAATATTTTAGCAACAACAAGCAAAACAACAAGGAAGAGGATCTTTTTTTCTTCCCCTACCACAACCAAAAACAGCAGCATAAGCAAAATGCCTCAAACCTGCTGGAGCCAGCACTGTTACAACCACTCTGCACCGCACACACCGTCTGCAACGCAAAACAAGCCAATGTGCTTTTAGTCATAGTTCGTCATTTCCAAAAACCCGCTCAAAGGCATAGGCTACACAAACATTAGTTATACAAAAGTTAAAGGAAATGTCTGCTTCAACAATAAACCTGACGCTTCAGTGAGAGAGATGAGCTCAGCATTCAAGAACTCACTGTTCCACTGGAAGAAATCCGTCTTTCAAGTCAGCTCGACTCATTTCTTGTCTCCATTTTCCCTTTTTAAGTCACTGTCAACACAAGTCAACACGTTTTAGTCATGAATCTTGACCAGGTTGAGACGAAGTCTTCACTTTGCACCAAACCAGAAGATTTACAGACGACAAACTTCAACAAATTTACTGAACTTTCAGTTTCACCAACATGAAGAGGCCATCGCAGACACAACTGCACACCATCTCTGCCAGTTTTCTTTTTCTGCAAGCTTTAAACAAGTTATTCAAAAATTAAAAATAAAGCCATAAACAGCACTGTACGCATTAAAGTTTACACTTCTTCCCATCAACCAAAATCAGACTCATAAAATATTTCATTATCCATGAATCCACTATATGCATTACTGTTAGTTGACCACCATCAGAGCACCGTTTTGAACAAGGCTAGGTCTCGTTTGCACCCCTGAACAAATGCAGAGCTTGTGTCAGGTTTTCTACAGAAGTTGTAAAACATTTAGCGCTTTTTCCTTCCCTGAACAAGAACTCCTACTGAAGCCAGCACTCCTTTTTGACCTTCATCCTCTCACTCTTTATCAGTACTTTTTTGTCCAACATATTCCAGCATTTCCTCTTTTCACCTCTTACTAATGCCAGATAATTGATCGACTTAAAGAAACTTTGGACATTAAGCTGCCAGTTTATTTAGCATTAGATTCTAATAACGTGTGAGCCAATGAGATTATTTAACAATGCTCACTTGCTACAGCAGGACAGGAGGTGGAAGACATGCAAGTATTTACAATGTTGCTCTGAATTACAGAATGTTGTGGTACAACGAGGCATTCAAATTAGCCATTTCCATCACAGTAAATAAGGAACCAAAGCTGTAGTACAAGTGAAAACAACTGGCAACATCATAAATGACACCAACGAGGCTCAAAGTTCTGCATCCACAAACAGACTGGGATCTTTCTTATGATAATGCATATTGACCATTAAGTAAAAAGCTGAAGGTTAGATTGGGCTTTGAAAAAAATCAGAATACGACCTGTCAAGGAAAAAATGTGTTCAGGCTACATTCTTGACAGTGGTGACATCAATTACTGTACGTGCATGTGGCTGCCTCTGCACGTCGTTACGATTCTGAATATTTGGAAGCGTTTCTCATTTCATAGATTCTTCATACAGTACATATTGTGCACACACCCACAGCTGTCTCTTTTTAAATATTCTTCTCCCCCTTTTTTTAGACTTTGAATTTAACAAATTATTTCTGACTATTGTTGGACTGATGTGTCAGATTTTTGTAAGAAATCAACGTTTTACAGCGTCACATGGATAAGTATGAAGATTTTATGTCATTGAGTCCTTCATAATATTTTAATTACGTGCGAGCTGGCTTTAAAGTTCACACAGTCTTTGGATCAGCTGCACCCAACCATCACCTTTTTAATGGGACATTTATCATAGTAAGAAGAAAAATAATCCTGGACTGCAAACAATTTTCTACTTCAAGGTTAAAAAAAAATTGGAAAATTTACAACACAGTCCTCCCAGCTGATTGGACATGGAAAGCATGTCCAGTCTGGTTCTGTGAGCACACTGCCAGTCATTCCCTGCGTTAGCACACTTCACTTAAACTGATTCGTAATTATCAGCAGAATTTGAAGACAAGCTGTTGAAGCAATTCATTCCTTTGAAACAGGTGTGTTGGGAGTTGGGACACTTTGCAGAATGATGAGCCACAAGAAACGGGGAAAAATAACCCAAACCTTGTGCAGTGCATATTTATCTGAGTTGCATCAATAATACAGTCTAGCTATACCAAAAAAAAAAAAAGATTTATGTTGTCAGTGCAAACAGCCTAAGTGAAAAAGTAATCACCTAGCTTTACAGGCCATTAATACTGAGACTACAGCTTCCATCTTCTATTAATACACAACTTTAGCTGTGTAAATCTGGTTCATCAACACTACACAACTCTTTCTACAGGCTACATGCATTATCTTGCATATGTGAAATGGCATTAAAAGAGAAAAAGATTTAAGTGAAAGATTTACATGTTAAAAATCAAGTCTGCAGCTTTTTTATCAGTGACCGAGTTTTATAACAGCTTCCCGTATGATGCTTAGATTTTTAAAATCATCTGAAAAGTGAAAAAAACCTTCATCCTATTGCTCAACAATAAAGTGACAAGAGACCTTTTCTGTATCTAGGCTGCTTCCTGTAACGAGATAAACTTCAAGCAGTTAAACTATTTTTGTCAGCAACAAAAAGCTAAATCTGTTACTGTTCTGTGACGTGAAGAAAAATTAGGGCTCGAGGGCACTTTAGTTGAGAATCTACATAAAAAGATATAAAAGCAAATAAATTGCAAGACATTTTTGCAATATATTTGAATGCAAACTATGAAGACCTCGCACTTTATGTAATCTCATGGTTCGTGTTTGCAGATCCATCAATCCATCCATCATCTTCACCCGCTTCTTCCTTTTCGGATTGCGGGGGGTCACTGGTGCCCATGTCCGGCTATCACTGTGTGAGAGGCGGGGGACACCCTGTACAGGTCGCAAGTCCATCACAGGGACACACAGAGACAAACAACCATTCACTCTCTCACGCACACCTAGAGACAATTTAGAGTTAATCAGCCTAACATGCATGTTTTTGGGAGAACACTGGAGCACCCGGAGAAAACCCATACATGAACGGAGAGAGCATGCAAACTCCACCTAGAAAGGTCCCAGGGCCGGGATTTGGACCGGCGACCTTCTCACTGAGAGGCAACAGCTCTACCAACTGAACCACCGTGAACCACTTGAACAAATCTCTGCTTCATACAAAAGCTTTGAGTTACAGCCATTGAACTGCATAAAGACAGACATTCATTAAAACGTTACAGTGGCTCCGATGTTCTGATTCAAGACTTCGTCCTACTCTGACAAAAAAAAAAACTATGTTCAATCTTTGGAGAAGGAAGCCACAAAGTTCTTGCCCTCAAGAACTGAATGCATTACTTCAGTAGAACACAAAAGGATTTAAAAATCCGACTGCAGAATAAAGTCGCTGCACTTTACTTCTTACTTTCAAACTGAAACAGACTCTGAAGCAGCCCATTAAAACACCAGTGGAATGAATCAAGGATACCATTGCAGACCAACACTTCCTCTGTTATGAAACTTGACTGCCAGTTAAAGATGCTAAATCATCAACTGACTCACGCCTGGATACAAATGGGCAGGCGTACACGCACGCACGCACGCACACACACACACAGACAGTGATACTGAGACAAATATCACACAAAAACTCGACTGATTAATCCTGCAGCCAAGGGAAGAGCATGGAGGCTGAAGTTAGCAATTCAGGTTCCTAATTTCACACCTTTAGTGAATCTATCCAAATTTCACTTTAAATGAGACGCATCCCTCTCCACAGTGATACCCAGCCCACGCTGCTCTATCTCATTGGATGAAGTATGGCCTCCCTCCTTTGGATTAAGGTTAAACAATAGACTTGGGTCCTGCCGTTGGGTGACCATGGCAACAGGTAAAAGTGGAACAAAAGACTGTCTGGATTTAGGCAACGCAGGTATTCTCTTACCCCATGCCCTGTGCCGAAAATCTGCCTCCTCGCCGTCCAGATACTCCTGAGCAGAAAATCAGAGTAAGCATCACATCGCAGAAAAAGGCATAAAAAAACGTCAACTTTGTCAACACTAACCGAGAGCTCCCCGCCCTCTGCCTCTGCCCCTTCGACCTCGCTCTGCTCCTCTTCCAGCTAGTCCAGCTTTTCCTCCATCCAAGCCGTTCTCCTGACCACGAACTTTCATTTTAAAGAGAGAGAAAACAACAATACATTAAAACTCTGAGTGCATGCTGACCGGTTGGGAAAAAAAAGAAGAAGAAGAAGAAGCTGTAATTAGCATACAAACTTGCAAAAAACTAATTGTAAGAGACTTTAGTTAAAAATAGATTGTTTAGTAAATCAGCCATTATTTTTAAATAAATTAGTAAAAAAACAGAAAAGCACAACGAGAGAATCAACTCACACTCTCGTCCCCTGCTTGCTCCTCGGCCCCTGCGTGGCGGTCCACCTCGACGACGTGCTGCATCTTTCTCCGCTCCTTTCTCTCTGTTCTCCTTTCCTTCCTCTCCGGGTTCAGCTTGGCTGATTTCCTTTTGACCCGACACTCCTTTCTTCTTACCCACCATTTCCCAGGAGTCCTAAGAAACAAAGTGTCAAAATATTGCAGTCCTTGAGGTCACGGGGTCAGCTCTTAATTTGATGGTCTGAAGTTGCAGAGCATGGGCTGCAGTTAAACTTAGCTCGTGACCCGACTAGATATACCTTCTGATAGACAAATACTTTATCAGTGGATGAATAATTATCACTTCCATGTTTGTTGCAGATGGTGGAAGTTAAATGTGTGAGCCTGCAGCTGCTTTAAATCAAACATAAAAATAACTCCTCAGCTTTTATGCTCCAGGAAATCATGTTAGTTTGCAAACATGTCCTCCTCTGAGGTGGTATCTTGATAATAAAAGTAACTGATGACTTCTTATCAAGTGCAATAAGATGCATTTCCACTTCATGGTTTTAATTTCAGTTAAGTTCAGCCGGCTAAAATATTTGTCATTTTGAGTTAGTTTTTTCGCACACGCACGGCAAAAGCTGCTTTATGCACTTTAAATGTTGTCCAAACATAAATGTTTAGTTAGTGCATTTAATTCTGAAAGTAACTGAATGCATGCAGGTGTGTCAACAGTGTTTCTGAAAGGTCAACAACAAACCAAAAACAAGCTATTTCTATATAGAAAACCTTTTCTGAGCATCTTTTTCAACTTTACTCAACTAAAAATACCTGAAGAACAAATCCTATCCCCGTGCCAATACTAAGATGCATCTGCTGAAGAGACGGGACTTGTTCAGCTAGCCTAACAAACGTTAGCCAAGCCCGAGTAGCGCTGATTTCTCTAGAACCTGCCCAGTGGACAAAAGCATTTACTCACCGTGTCTGGGCTACCCTCCAGCAACACATTAATGGCTCTGTTGACATCGCCGTTGCAATCATGCAGCGCGATCATCGACTCATCCTGGTCCTTTCCTGTGATGTCGATCAGCTGAAAGAGGTGAAGTGCAATCATGAGACAGAGACGACCCCGCAGGCCCACATTTCTGGTACCATTATATAAAAATAACGTCAAATTATAACTATAGCAAATCTGTAAAACAAAGCTAATTTTATAAAACGGTAGTTACAGTGTACGAATGTGATTCATTACAGAATAAGACACCAAATGAAAGTCACCAGGAGAAACACTGCTATACACAAATGGTATCAATATTTACCTGTATTTTCAGTACACTGATATCCATGTAATGTATATTTTTTACACAACACAATGTCAGCAAACAGAAGACGAACGGTTATCAAAAAGTCTAAACATGCTTCGCATTTAAACTTTCTGGTCTGATGTACAACTCTTAACTTTGAGTTAAAGCTAACAAACACAAAATTGGTTAATGCCAGGTCATGAGTATTTTGTGCAAAATAAATTTTAAAAGTATTTTAACATGATAAAAAAGCAAAAGATGACAGCTGAGGAATTCTTACATAGTCACAAACAGCTGCCAGCTTGACTCATCTTGAATAACACTAACCTGCGCCTCCTTGCATTTAAAGATGAGATTTATTTTCCGAGCAGGTTATTGCACAACAGTTTCCTGCAGGATTAATACAATCCTTCCTGTAATTCTCTAGAATAAACAACCTAGTTAAGAAAGACGTTTACGGGTTGGTCAAGTATATACTCATCCAAAACGAGGTATAGTAGCCACAACCAAATAGTTTAAACTCGATCTGCTCACCTGTTTAACCTTCTCTTCAAAGTCTGCATCGTTGTGGTCTGAAATCATCTGCGCGAGTCTGATCTGCTCTGCGGTGGCCTGTTCCAAGAAAAGTGAAACATTCAACATTTGCATCAACAAATAAAAGCGTAAAATTTGCATTCTTGTTAAAACACAGGAAGAAACCTATATTTAACCATTTAGGAAATCTCTAGATCCATCTCTAAAGTAAATAGGAGAAGATAACATGTACAGGACATTAATAGTTAACGTTTGTTTGCTGTTTTACAGCATTTTTAAAAAGGAGAAGCAGCAGCACGGACAGGAAGCTCGCTGGCAAGTTTTGATCCAATATGTGGTTACTTTTGTAAAAGAAAAACTATAGTTATTAGTTATACCAGCACAAGTTGTTGGGAAAAAAACAGTGAATTACCGGTGTATGTATTTAACAACTACTGTCAGTAATTGTTTTTTTTGGTCACATATAGATTTTAAAATACTCTAATATCAAACAATTCTAGAAAAAAAAAGCACATGATAAAACGTCTCCGTGCTGGTCTGTGTGACGAGATTCGACTTGTTACAAAGTGACAGCGTAGGTGACAATGTAACAATAACACTACTTTATGAGAATCCTGCTCAAGGACAAAAACGGATTTCCCCCTAAACAGCGGTGGTAACACCATGCCTTACAGAGGTTATTATATCAAAATATACATATCGGGGGTCGACATACGCAGTTTTTGGTTGTTCGAGACAATCTATTTTTGTTACAAACAAGCAGATCTCACACCACGGTTGTTCCGTGGACAACCAAGTGAAATAGACCCAGATTAAAAATGAAATGGGGGCAGTGGTGGGGGGGCATGAGTTTTGTTGTGGCCTTGTTAAAGCCATCCAATCTAATGATGATACAGGGATTAAACTGATGCCGCTTTCAACACATAAAGAGAACCAAAGCCACAGTTTGACCCAATCGGGTCGTGCTGTCTGATACACAACGGGTGTACACACTGTTCCCACTGTGCAGGTGAGAGCACCAACCAGTTTCCTGGACTATTTTCCAAAGAGGACACCCCGCTACCCTAACAGAAGGTGATGACGTTTTAAGTTATTAAACGTCTACGTATGAAACATGAGTGTTCGCACATGACCAGTTCACTGCAGAATGAAGAAATACCAGAACTGATTCACACTTACGCCCCCCCCAAAAAACTCCCGGGACTTTTGTATCTAAAGTCTAACTTTGTATTAAATGTGTGTCGTCATCGTCGTACAGACGTGTGCAACTTGCAGTGTGACCAAACTCCGGGTCTTCAGAGGAGACGGTGCAGCAGCGCTCAGCCTGTTTGAGCATCTCTCTGGTGAGAGAGGCTGCGTCTACATTTAGTTCTAATAATTAAACAATTTAAACACTAGAAGATGAATATTTATATGCCCCAAATTATAACAAAGATTTGAGTCTCTGTTTAACCCTGAAAGAGACTGACACTCAGTAGCTGCTTGGAAATGACAAGCAGTCCACAAGATGGCTGACTGAGAATAATTGCACATAGTAAACTTTGCATATATATATATTCTTAATAACATTTATTTGTAGATTTTTTTTTTTTGCCTTAATGTAAAAGTTGTGCAAAACCAAAAATTTTGTCGGACAACAGGATTCTGTGAAGAGGTTGGAATATCCTGTATACATTTGAAGTTACACTAAATGAGACCGTTCCACGTGTTGCGACGTGTTAAATATATAAACTCTGCATACTTAAACACATACTGTTCTGAGACCTGGTGCAAATCATTCGGTCCCGTGTGGTGCAGGTACCTGAGGCCTCTGCTTGTGCTGTGTCTGGCTCTGTGTCTGGCTCTGCGTCTGCTCCCAGTTGCCCCGGGCTCGGTTCCCGCCCATGGACGTCATCATTTACAGTATATACAAATAACAGTATTTACAAAGAAATAACACCTGAGGAGAGAAGAATAAAAGGGGTTACAAACCTGTGACTTTGACCCATGTCTGATACATACTTGTATGGCATATTTAGTACTTCCTCAACTGTGAGGAAACGGGTAGTGTCATTAGTTTAACACAACCCACAGGAAAATATTAATAAAATGCATTTATTTTGTTTCACTTCTAAGACATACCCCAAAACTACCAACTGGGCTGTCTCAGGAAAGATGCATGCCTTGTTGCGCATGTTATTTACCTTTTAAAACATGATGCAATACTTTCTACACCTACCAGAAAAAGAGGTTTTAAGCTAGCCTGTCCATCAACCAAATATGATCACAAAAAGTCTTCACTGCATTGTTTAAGCTGTGTTTATTATTAAATAAGACAAGAACACAAGCACTGACTGTCACGTACGCAAATTGTTATTCCTGCCATGTTAAGTGACAACTTAATCTTGCATAGGTTACGTAAAACCCTGTTTTGACCAGCCTAAAAACAAACTCGGGGCCCGTCGAACGTGCCCCCGCTTCTACTAGCCAGCCACATGGCCAAAATGCTAGCCCACTGGCTAATCCTTGAAGGAAAACATCCAGCTCTTTAACCTCTCGGTGGGCTTCCGCTTCTCAAGGCTTCGCCTCATGGCGACAACGAGGCTAACTTTGCAATGCTAACTCAGCTAGCACAGTGCGGAAAGCTGCGCACACAAACAAAGCAACTCTTGTTAGCTAACTTAGCTCAGTGGCCAATAGGTTAACTAGCTTATCATATACTAGCAGGCTGGGGATTTTTAATACTCCAAGAAATGAAAAGAAAAACGCCCAAAACGGGCGGTAGCTACAAGCTGAATGCTAACAACTAGTATCGAAGTAACGTCGTTGGCATTGCTGGGCAACTTTAGCTTTGTTAGCAAATTAGCAGCTGATTTAATGCAGCACCCAGACCCAATGTGGCCGCGGTATAATCTGATGCCGGGATTGATGCAGTCGATTTGGAAAATGCCGAGGCTAGATGCAGGCCTACAGGCCGCTGAAATGAAAATAATAACAGGCGCTGCTGACCAGAAACCCGGCTCAATATTATATCAGAGCTACACGACACCCGCCGACAACAGTGCTCGTTTCTGACCTTCTGTTTTTGGACGTGAGGCAGGATATACTTCCTGTACTTAAACGTGATCACGACTATTATGAGAAAATAATGAAAGAAAGAGCCGACTAGCTCCCCACAACAAACGAGAGGCTGAATTTACCTGTGTCTTTTCCACTCTGACACCACGGAGAACTGCGTCACGTGGTTCACAGAGCGCTTCGAGGAAACGGGACCCGCACCACGTGACCACGCTCTAATATAGTTCGACGTGATCAGCCGAGTTATGACAAGTCAAAACAACTTGGGAGACAACAAAATACAACTAAACATGTGCTTTAAACATGTGAATTATTCTCACAGGTACACACAAAAATAAACATTATAAGGAGCATACAGCCTGGTAGGACGTTCTGATTAAGAAGTGGCATGCCAAATCTACAAAACACTTTCTGAATATCTTTAAAATGTAATTGATTACTAAAATAAGAACTGACTCCAGATATTCATATTTTATCTGATCCTTCTTTTGAATGCCAAGCTTTTGTTTGAAATATGAAAAAGCACATTGTATTTATAAAAATAGGTTACAGTTTTATGCCTAAAAAAGTAAGATAAAACAAATTAGGCTTTTTGTTTTATGTCATATTTGATCCAAACACATTTTCAAGAGAAACTTTCTATTACAAATAAGGGAAAACAATGTTGTTACAAACAAATAGCAATAGTGAACACAATGCAATTAACATAGTGAACATGAGCAGAAACAAATATTAAAAACAGGAGTGTCAGGTATCTAAAAAAAAAAGAACAATTTATTTAGAAATAGTCAGTTTCAAAGACAAGAGAAAATTAGATAAAGCAACAGACATTTAAATAAAAGTGAAGCAAAAAAAACATTGAAAAGTGCACAAATATAAATTAAGGGCGTACCAATAAATCAACCCAGATTTCCTTAATTTTGGGAAATTGGAGATTGTCCGATACTTAAATGATCAACCGATTTTACCAATTTATTTTGTTCTTTTAACAACAATTGTCTAAACTTCATTTATATTTCAGAGCAATACCTTATGGCCAGTTAAAACAAGTTTTTATTGTTTCTAGGCTATTGTTCAAGGGTATGTTTTTCAATAAAATAATATTGGAAAATTGAGTCAGAGTTTCTTTATTTGTCATTCGCACCACATGTGGTACATGCAGTGGAAGGAAAATGTGTAAACAGGAAAGTGCATTGTGATCTTGTAACACCTGAAAGTGTCGCTGATAAAACAAAATCAGAATCAGCAGGTCAGGCTTTTTTAGAGATCGGTGATCGGCCAGAAAACTGAAATCGGTGAACCTTTAGTATAAATGATTATTAAAGGCTTACACAAAAATGATATGAATGTATAGACTTCTAGGAAATGCATAAGTGTAAAAAGCTGTAAATTTAAAGAAGATGAACAATTTAATCCTGCAATAAACAGCTGATACAAGTGTGTTTCAAACAACACTTTTTACAAATTAAATAGTAAGAAATCACTCTTGGGAAAAAAAAATACCCAGGATATGAGAAAAACCCTGTTGGAAAATGGAAAAGTGGAAAACCTATTGTTTAAAATGAACATCAATAAAAATATAAAATAACCAAAGTGAATACTTGTCCAACAGTATATATATATATATTGGTTTTTACTTTTGTCTATAAATATTTAAAAGTATAAAAGTTAAATTTAGATTTACATACCATATCTATATTTATTTATAGTTACACAGTAATGTCGTATTTAATAATTTAATTGTGTATTTAATGACTTAATGATGTATTTCAAGGTCAATGTCAAGTTTTTTTTGTTCATTCTTTCAACCTTTATTTAGACAGGTTAATCCCATTGAGCCTCGTGGACTCATTTACAAGAGAGACCAGAAGGTTCTTTATTGTCCTTCGCATTGCATGTGGTACATGTGGTGGAAAGAAATTGTGTACACAGGGTCCCCAGTTACATCCAACACGGGTATAAATTGTAAAAGAAAAAGAGTGATAAGATCTAAAATATGAACTAAGAAATACGCTAAACACTAGTGCAAGAACAATAATACGCCAAACAACAACATCACGCCAAATGTATTTAATAACAATATTTAATAATTAAATGATATATTTAATTGTTATGTATGTATTTTATTGTTTCATTTTGTCACATTCCGTTCTCCACAATGTGGTTGTCAGTTGATGTATTTTTATTTACCCTTTTTTTAAAGTACCATTTCCTACCACTAGGGGCGGTAGTGCACCACAACGTTGTTTATTACGCGGCTGGTTGTTGTTGTCGCTTCAAGCTAGCTTAAGCTAACACTTAAAGCTAAACAGGATAAGTAATTTCGCTATGTCGCCGATCTTAAAGAGGAAGTGCTGCGCGCTTGATAAACACTTATTTCTCCGTACAACTCGCTTCTAAAAGCTGCAATGCCATAAGCAGTTAGCTGTTGGTGCTGCTGTGGGTTTTATTTTTTTTTTAATGAACCGAACACCAGAATGTAGCCAAGCGCTAAAGTGATAAAAGCATGGCAGACTCGTCGCCCTTGTCCGGAGTTAATGTCGTTTTGGTGATGGCCTATGGGAGCTTGGTAAGTTACGGTTTTACTAAATATCTAATACTCGATTATGCGACTGTGACCGTAAAACCCTGTTACGTGTAGCTCATTTTATTTATCCTTGCAGGTGTTTGTGTTGCTGTTCATCTTCGTCAAAAGGCAAATCATGCGTTTTGCTATGAGATCGCGCCGTGGACCCCATGCTCCTATCGGCCACAATGCACCAAAGGTAAAGCGTAGCTCGTGCAAGCTTTTTGTTACACGTGAACAGTTTTGTTTTATTTTGCCTACACTTATTTATTTCCAGGGTTTAAGGGAAAAGATTGACTCCAAGCTGTCCAAGGTCCATGAGATTCATTTCGAGCCTCGTCTCTTATCAGAGGAGGATGACAGGATCAGGCGAGGATCACAGATAAGTCAGTAATAGTTGATGTTTCCTTCCTATTCTTCTGCAAAGTGAATTTAGTTTTAGTGTTGTGCTTAAACAGTTTTATCTGTCACAGGTTGTTACAACTATCTGTACAGGATGAAGGCTCTGGATGCCATTCGTGACTCAGGTGAGCTTCATCATTAAGACCCCGTTCACACCTTGCAATCATATATCCGTTTCAGGTGGTCTCTTCTGACCTGGTGGTTTAAATGTGTGCCACAAAACATTGTTTTACACCTGAGTGTCAGTTATCTATGCTGGGCAGATACAGCAGGTATGTTACAATCCCTGATGACTAGGGCAGATTAATTCATGCATATGGCTTTCCAGTAATCGAAAGTCATACATCAGATGTGTAGGATTCATTAAAAGGACAATAGGAATATATTATAAACTCTTCTCTACATTCTGAGCACCTTTCATGACAGTCTTTGGACCCTGGAATCGGTGTGATCTGATGAAGGTGAAATTTGCTTCTTAATTTTTCACCCTCTAAAATTGCCATGACGTTCTATTTCTCAACAAATTTTAACAAAATTGGTATTTTCTTTGCTATTTTTAGCTTCATCCGATGAAATATGTTTTACTAAAAATTGGGAACTTTAACTTTTTTTTTGTAAAATTGCAGTTCAGAGCAATTTGAGTCACATTTTAGTACAGTTATCCCCTGATGGGTTTAATTCTGTAACTGATGCAATACAGAAATACAGTAGTCCCTCGTTTATTGCGAGTGTTAGGTAAGTTATATATGTGAAAAACTGCGAAGTAGTTATATTATTATAGTAGTACATATTGTGATTTCCATCTCATGTGGTACTTGAGATGGAACGAAATTATGTGCACAAGTAGTAGTAAGTAGTACCGGTAGTTTGAGTATTTACTGTAGTAGTAGTAAGTAGTTAAACCCTTCCCACACTCTTGCAATGTTCCTAACAATTTTTAAAACTCTTAAATCTTTTAAAACATATTAATTTTAAATGGGTACTCACCAAAGAAGATGAAGATGAGATGAAACCAGGTGCTTTGGCTTCGTCCTTCATAATAAAAGTGCGAGATGGCATCATTTTACAGAACAGGCCCGTTTCATCCGCGTTAAAAACTTGTTCAGATCTTTGAACGTCGTGTTAACAAACTCCTCCACTCCTGCTGTGTCAGCGGACGCAGCCTCTCCGTGCAGAGAAACACCTTTTAATCCAAATCGTTTTTGAAAATTTTCGAACCATCCCTTGCCGACACTAAATGCAATGTCCGGTGGTTGAACCAGGTGGTTGAAGGTCCAGCTTGAGGTTCATCTTATCAGGATGTTTCGCCTGCAGTTCTCTTGCGTATGAAATGTCCGTGAGGAAAAAAAACATCTACAATAACGGCAGTGAGATCCAACGTCTTACATCTTGTTGATTCCAGGTCTTAGGTCTGATCTGATGCAACAATTTAATCTACATGTACCTTTCAAATGTGGTGAAGAACCAGCAAACATACACTTTTATCAGTACAGCTTTAAATTTATAATGAAATTCATAATTAAAGTCTGCTTGTCACCCTTTTCAGTACAGTGTCCCTTGTAGAGCTTCAGCTCTTCTAACATGTTGCTCGTTTTCATTTGGATTTTAGGAATTCCTCTGCAGGAGATAAGTGGCAGTCCCAGTGCGTTTACTGGTCGCAGCTTCAGGAACTGGCTGACGGAGCTGCGAAACTCCCACTCCCTCATCAAGAGCAGCCGCAGCGCGCTCATCGACCGCTTACTCGAAGGCTACGACAGCGCTCGCCACGGAACGGGGGTGGGCAAACAGCCTCTGTAACAGACGGTGTAAAAGTTGACCTGCTTTTATTGATTTCATGTGATCGGTGCGTTTCAGACGTTCGGGGAGGCCGAGTTTCTCGAATATCAACGAGCTCTTAATGAACTGGCTGATGTGTAAGTGCCTTTAGTTTTGAAACAAGTTCACATTATTCACATTAACTGCATCGGGCCTTAACCATTTTCTAACCTTTATAACTGAAAGTTTTTATGGTCATCAGTTTATTAAATAAATTTTGGATTATTTAATAAAAAGTAATAAAAATCCAGGTTCAGAAAACTTTTTAATGTAGTTTTCAGAGTAGTTTCAATGTTTGTTTTTTTTGTCCCTCCTCCAGTGTGAAGGCTTACTCCAGCAGCACCAGCCTGGACCAGCATCACCAGTCTGCAGCCAAAGACCTGACGGGCTCCCCAGTCCGCAGCACTCCCTCCACCATCCAGGTCACCTACCTGCCCTCTACAGGCCAGCGCAGCAAGAGGCCCAAACACTTCCTGGAGCTCAAAAGTTTCAAAGACAACTACAACACGCTGGAGAGCACGCTGTGACCGCCGCACAACGGTTACAGTCGAAACAAAAACCTTTTTTTTAATAAGTTAAGCTTTAAAAATGTAAATACCAGATACAGTTTGGAAAGACTGAACTTGTTCAAATGTTATGAACCCTAAACTGGACCGAAGGAATCATGTTTGGAGGAGAAATGGAACTGCGAGTAAAGATTTTATTCGATTTCTGTTGGAAAAACCAATGTAAAATAATTTTATTTAATATTTGTTTTTACGAATCCTATGTTGGTTTCTAATTATGTATGTACAGATGTAGCATATTTATATAGAGACCATATTAACTTATTTAATTTATGCCGTTTGATTTGTATTTATGTAAAAGTTACTCCTTTGTGGTTTGACTTTCAAAAGAAGAAATCTTTACCCAGTTTTTCAGCAGTGTCCTCTGTATGTCCACCAGGTGGCAGTATGACGAGTAAAATGCAGCAACACCAGAGTAATGAAACTAATCAATTAGTCAGTTTTATTTATTTAAAAAAGAAAGTCTACTTTGAGAGACTGAAGTGTATCTTAACTATAGTTCACAGTGAAATATTTTACAAAGCCCATAAAGTTTATACAAAATGATAGTTAAATAAGAGTTATTAAATAATGGTAATAAGTTTAATTTTTAGCACAAATCAGGCCTAGACAGTAAATATAGAAAAGCAAAAAAAACTTGTTTCCAAAATAATTTAGAATAAGCCAAAATCTTACATTAAGTATGTTTTTCCTACATTTTAACCCACTCAAAAGTAAAAAAAGTAAAAGTTTTTACACAGTGCCATAATGACGTGTCTGTTATTGACCGTGACCCCTGAAGGAACAGAGTGGAGAAAGGAGCTGGAAACTATTTTTACCTACATTAATGACGACAGCTTGTCCTACCCTGTCCTGACAAACAGCTTATTACTTTGATTTAAACGATTGTTCTGTACATGAGGCAACTTGAGGTGAACTCTGCCGCTGTATCCTGAAGGCTTGTTGACAAAAGTACAAACTGCACAGACGCAGAAATTCAGAACATCTGTGCAACAGAGGCTTTTTCTGCTTCCTTTGTGCACGTTCTTGTGCCGTTTTTATGTTTTTGACACAAAGATCATGATATATAGACACAGCCCCAAAGATAACGAGGTGCTGACTGGAGAAAAATATGCACGAGGTTTGTTAAATTCTGACTGCAGATCTACTGTTGCTATACCAGCAGGGGGATAAATACATATTTACAGAACATTTTTCAGGTTTCTTCAGATGTTGCTCCCATCACGATTTGATCTCGATCACTTTGATGAACGGAAGGACTTTGTTGGTCGGTGAGGTCGGTGTCAGAGGTTTGCTGCACAGAAATATAAAAATATGTACAAACAGCATGACAGCAACTTAAGTTGATGACAGCAGAAATCTGGAGGCATTTCTTCACCTGTAAACAATCTCTGGCTTGTTTTCAATGGACGAGGGTGGAGGGTCCTGACCTGCCAGGAAGTACTCCATGTGGTCACGCATTTCTTTATTCTGCCAACAGAAAGCAGACATTAAACTGGGTACTTGTAGCTTTAGCTGGTGAAAGAACACATGCAAGTTATCGTTTTAAAAGAGTAATCACAAAAATGTTTGTTTTATAGTTAACTAGAGAAATTGCATTTCCTGCGAAAATGCCATGTGAATGCTGAAGAACTTGCTGAAAAACAGCTGAAGTTAGCTTAAAAACATGCTGAAATGAAAGAACAAGCCTAAATTAGCATAAGTAGAAAGACCACATATTTGATGAATTAGGTTTAAATAAGGAGAAATGAACACAAAAATTAAGAAATCGGCTAAAAAGGGCTAAAATTAGCACCAAAAGAAAGGCAAAAATGCAGAAAGAAACTAAACCTACGAGAAGGAAGTGGAAAGAGCTGAAATTAGCTATAAAATGTGGAATTAGCTGAAAAAGCTAACATTTGCATAAAACAGCTAAAATTAGCTGAAAAAGGTGAAACTAGCTGAAAAGAGCAAAACAAGCTGAAATTAGTAAGAGTTAATTAGGCTGAAAGTAGCAGAAATTACTTAAAATAATTTGAATTTATCTGAAAACAGCTAAGAATTTTCTAAATAAGTAGCTGAAAAAGTAGAACAAGCATAAATTAGAAGAAAGCAGAAAGAACATGTTTGCTCAGTTAAGCTGAAAGAAGCAGAAATGAGCAAAAAACTGCTGAAAAGTTGCTAAAAAGCAGAAAGAAGCTGAAATTACAAGGAGGAAGTGGAAAGAGCATATTTTTGCTGAAAAGTTTAAATTAGTGCAAAAAAATGTGGAATTAGCTGAAAAGGCTTAAATTAGCATAAAACAGATGAATAGTAGTTGAAATAGTAGAAAAAGCTGAAACTTGCAGAAATAAGCTGAAGGGAGCATAACTAACTGAAATTAGCAGAAAGAAGTTAGAAGAAGCATAAAAATGTTGTAGTTAGCAGAAATAATCTGAAAGGAGCACAAAAACAGCTAAAAGTAGTTAATAAAAAAAAATTGCACAAGGAAGCTGAAAGAAGCTGAAGCAGAACAAAATGTGAAAGGAGCAGTAAAAGGATGTAAACACATCTAAAGATCTGAAGGTTGTAAAAAGAGTCCAGTTCATTTTCTATGAGGAAAACGTGGCAGAAACTGATAAATATTTCAAAAAAGCTAAAGCTGCACCAATACCAAAAGTCATAGCAGGATTGACCTGAAAGAGCTGAACGTTTTGATATTTGATTTGTTGAAATAACACAAAAATTGTGGAACGAGAAAAATGTTGAAAAACGTACGGAAGAAACACAAAAGTGAGGATGCTTCATAAACATTCACACAATAATTCATCATCGGGTCAAGACTTATTTGTTCATTAAATGTAGAAAGAAAAACATACAAATTTATTTAAATTAAAAGCTTTTTTAGGCACTTAGTAAAAGACGCAAGCCAGATTAAACCACGAGTTTCACCCGTGGATTATCACTAGGGTTGCCAACTTCCATGAGTTTCCAAAGCTGTAAACTTTTCATGGGAATTAATGGAAATCCATGAGCATAAAGGTGGAATTATAAACTTTGAATTTTGTTTTTATGGGACTAAAATGACAACATATAGATGTTGAATGGATATTTCTGTTCAGTTGTGTTTGCGTGAATTTAGACAAAGTTTACAACAAAAGAGAAAACTGTAAAAAAGTTCAAAATCCTTTGTGTAAAATCTGATCAAAGATGGCGACATGTTGAAGTCATCATATGCAAATTAGGTCAATAAATTTGTTATATTCATAAACTTTGGGTCAATCTCAATATTTGCTTATAGCATCATCCACCTATGATGAAACAAAATGTTTAAATATAATAAATCTTATTTAAATTACCTCCAATTTCCTGTTACTTTCTATAAATTTCCACAGAACGTTTTTCAATGTGGACCATTTCTAAAATTCCACGGCTGACTGGAAAGTTGACAGAAATGAATCGTTCCTTTACAACTCCTGTTTCGGCGTTTGTGGCCATAGTTTGCTTTAACAATCGAGATAAACACAACGACGGGTCTAGAGGAACTCCTTTAATTTGTCAAAATAGTCCATGCTCAATAATCCAGGTATACAATCCAACAATTTTCAGTCAGGTCACCTGGACAGTTTCTTTTTTTTCTGAAACGTTTCACCTTCCATCCAGAAGGCTTCATCAGTCAAGGAAACACAACAAAACTGATTCTTCCCCCAAACCGCTTACTCCAAAGTGGAACAAACCAGTTATGTTGGTGCTAAGATGGTTAATTTGTCTTTTTAAATCATGAAGACACTTTATAAAATATTAAAAACATAAACTATTAGAAAAGGATGAAGGATGCTGACCTCAGCGTCCAGGAAGGCCACTCGTTCCCTCAGGTCTCCGATGACTCGATCTCTCTCTTGGAGGACTATTCTGGAGTTTTGCAGCTGAATTTTACAGAGAGAAAAAAAACAGACGTAAGAAGATGTTTAGGAAACACACAAGTCACTTTTCTATTTCAAGCAGCTGCAGTGTCACATGACCAGGAAACCTGTGCATGAATACCTGCTCAATCATGTTGCGAATCTTCCTCTGCTGACTCTTCAGCATGTCGTCAAGGTGGTGAATCTTTTCCTTCAGGGCGGCCACCTCCTCCTCCAAGTCTGCGCACCTGAAAACCAACGGAAGACAGATTCTGTTTGTCCAGGACAGAGAGGAACTTGCTGTGAAAGTTATTCTGTGTGCACGACTCTTTACAGCGATCTAACCTTTTCTCATTTTCTGCCCCGTCCTCTCGGTCTGCTTTTAGCTGCAGCAGCTCCGCCTCCCCGGCCGCCATCTTGTCTTTAAGAAGGCCGCTCTCGACCGCCATGTTTGCCAGCAGCCTCTGCAGCTCCTCCACCTGCTCGCTTTTCTCCTCCGACAGCCGCTCCGCCGCCTGCAGCCGCTCCGACTGCTCGGCGAGACGAGAGCGCTGCTCCTTTGACTCGGCCTGCAAGAGAAACCACAAGAGAAGAGAGACTGTGGGAACATCCAAACCATCTGCACATGATTAGTTCGACTCGGCGTTCTGAAAAGGTTTTAATTTCAGTAACCGAGCATTCATACGATTTATCTGTTTATTATTTGTCCTCTGCAAGCTTTAGCAGTAACTTGAGGTCTGTGTTTGTTGGAACTTCCTGCCATCGTCTCTCGGTGTCTAAAGTTTTGAAATCTTTTGTCCATAAGCTCTTTGGGTCGTTCTAATGATCATGTTCTGATTGGCTCCCGCAGCCCTGAGGGCAGTGGCGTCACCAGCTTTAAAAACAGATTTCTTTCTTTCAGCGGCTCCGACCTCAGCTCAGCTCTTACTGTTCATTGTGTTCGTCCTGTTCACATCCTGAAAGTGTTTTTAAATGTAGCAAGAAACAACATCAGTAGACTCACTGACATCTGGGATCCCATCTTTGGTGGCAGCCACTCTTTAGCTACCCTTCTGCTACTTATATTTTTGTAGCTAACATTTAGCTTCTGCTTACCAAGCAACAACTTTTATTTTTTACCTGCAGTTTAGTTAATTTTAGCAAAAAGCAACCATTTTGCTACTTTTAGACTTTAGCTCATATTTTGCTACTTTTAGCTTCTGATGGCCATTTAGCAACTTTTATTTTTTTAGCTACAGTTAAGTTAATTTTAGCAAATAGCTACCATTTTGTTACTTTTAATCATTAGCTAATATTTTACTACTTTAAGCTTCTGGTTATGATTTAGCAACTTTTATTTTTTTTAGCTATAATTTAGTTAATTTTAGCAAATACCTACCATTTTCCTACTTTTAGTCTTTAGCTCATATTTTGCCACTTTTAGCTTCTGGTTACCATTTATCAACTTTTATTTTTTACCTGCAGTTTAGTTAATTTTAGCAATTAGCTACCATTTTGCTACTTTTAGTCTTTAGCTCATATTTTGCTACTTTTAGCTAGCATTTGCTACCATTATCTCTTAGCTAACATTTTACTGCTTTTGGCTTTTAGCTAGCATTTTTCTTTTATTTTAGCCTTTATCCAGTGTTTTGCTTCCTTAGCATTCAGCTTGTGTGCTACTTTTAGCCTTGGTGTGTTAATCTTCTAGCTTCTTCTGTGATCATTTTGAACGCAGCATTCACAGAGAATGTCTTTTCTCATGTATTAAATTTGTTTTTCAAGCTGAGCTCAGTCGGGCGTTTGGATCGGTGGCGTCACGTTTTCAGTCTTTTGTACCTCGTTGGTTTTGTTGGACCTGCTAACACAATAAAGCGGACTAGATGATCCCAGGACAAACGTTAGACATGTCCCAACAGATGCTTTACAAAAGCCCCAAAAAGGTGGATCATGGTGAGATGAGTGATTACATCCAAAGATAACACCGCCAGACGATTAAAGCAACGTGAGAGCAGCGGAGGGGTGAGTCACGACTGCAGGCAGGAAACCACAGCGTATTACTCATCGCCTGAGCCTGACCTCCAGTCGGTCCCGTTCCTCCTGATGTCGCTTCTCCATGTCCTTCAGCTGCTCGTAGAGACGGCGGGTGGCCTCCCTGAGCCTCGTGCTCTCCTCCTGATCATCTCCAAGCTGTGACAGTGGGTACACAGAGACAAATTAAACTTAATCTCACAAACTACCCGAGAGGAAGGCCGGAGTTAACGAGCAGGTAACGAGTCAAGCCTTAGGTAAATAAAGCATCACGGAAAGACTCTTTTAACTACGTATAACCTTCCATTTCTAAACTGTTGTGCTTAAGTGGACAGAATAATTGCACTTTACATAGCTGTGGAATGTAACACCACTCAGCAAGGGGGACGGTGTAAACCGAGCCAGGTTTACCTGAACACACACACACACAAATCACTTGATATGGATAGCCACTCACACCCAGTCCCGCCCTGCTCCAACACTGCTGCTCTGGCAGCTGAAGGCGTGGTGTTACAGTAAATATCATGTGCGGGGTACAGATCATTCATGGGAAATGTAATATGTTTGGGTCTGAGCTCTGAGTGCTGCAAAAAGCTTTATGGCTGCACGAGTGGAGGGATTTTCTTCAAATAATAAAACACAGAAAAGTCATATTTTTCCCCACAATTACCAACGAGAATGTTTTGTTTGAATAAAAATGTGAACTTTAGGACTTTACTAGGGAAATCTGACGTGAGATTAACTTGCCTGAGGGTCGGAGGGGACGTTGTTGTTGGAGACAGCTGATTGGCTGATGGGTGAGCTCACTCTGAAGTCACTGGCTGGACGCTGGACAAAGCAGAGCCATGTTAGTACACTTGGTGTTTGATTTCTACGTTTAGACTTGAAATGTAGGCGGAGAAAGATAAAACTCAACTTTGTATGCACATTTGCAGTCAGGTACAAACTATTTAAACGTTCCCATCGGTGCAAAAACAGTAAAAACACTGAAATTCTTTCAACGACCATATTTCCATGAAAATAATGCACATACAAAATAAATAAATAAATAAACACCAAATTGATGTCATTTTACACAATTTGGTTTTAAAAAGCCTCCACAAGAGCCAGAGAATCTCTCTGAACAAGACATTTATTATTTTTTTCGGTGTAAGTCGTGTTTTTTTGCCTCATTGGCATGCCCTGTGACTTGTAGGCCGAAGCAACATATTTATGGATTTTCCTCCATATTTATAAACCAATTTTTGGCTGAGATATGACCGTTTTCATTCATTCCGAATGAAAAAATTTGAACAGTACCATTTTCAGCCACTAGATGGCACTCAAGTAGTAAGGCATGCCATTGTATCATGTAATGGGTAAAAGTGGCTATTAATGACACATTCGGCTTGCCCGCCATTTGACAGCCCATCGATTTTTGGCACAACACCGGCCCACGTCTCCAGGTTCGGCCCACATTTCTGGTTTGTCAGCGGTGATGCGTAACAAACGCGTCGCATCCGCTGTGACGCATAATAGCTGCGACGTATACGGCGATGCAACATATTTATGGATTTTTCCACTTTATTAGACATATTTGGACTGATGTGACTTATAGGGCGATGCGATGTGTACGGCGGAAAATACGGTAATTATTACTTTCATACAGAAATACGAACTTAACTTTACTCAGTATACATATTTCTATCAATCAGAACTAAATTTATAGCTTTATTTTTAATTAAAAACCTTTTGTTAAGTTTTTGTCATGCTTTAAATCCTCTTTTTTCTAGCTTGTAATAACCTCCCTGAACCAGGAGCCATTAAAACATAAAACAGTCTAAAATATTCAAGCAGCTACAAACAATTCACCTTAAAATGACAAGAGGAAGCACGAAAAGATCACACGGATTAAATAAAATGAGGCAGATGTTCTGTAGGTCTGACAGGTGTTTATCTGAGAGAGGACATTTGAGTAAAACTTATCTGCCTGTTCTCTATTATTAATTTCATCACAGTGATGAACATAAAAACAATGAAACGCTCAGTCCAACGTTTTTCACCTCAAAGTTTGATTGACTCATTTCCTTTCAACTCAAATGGATCAACAAGAAGCTCAAACTTTTATTTCCCAGTATTAAAATCAACGAATCACAGCGGGAACGCAACTTTCATTTAGTTCTGTTTGAAATAAACGTGCGACAGAGACTCTTCCTCTCAGCACGTAGCTGCAGGAGGCTGCAGGGGAATTCTCTGCACCGACGAGACAAAGCTGAAAATCTGCACTGTTTGATCTGCAGGCTCTCAGGCAGCTGTGTAATAAAAATCAAAACAGACATTGCTCAATAGAAAATTCCTACATGAGCTCTGGAACTCTAAATCTTCCTCAGGGAAGACGGTTTTTTACTTACATCCATAAATTATAAACACATTTCTCCTACATAAAAAGATAAAAAAGACTGAAACAGTTAGTTCTTTCTCTGGGCTTCAATAACAGACTGTTGTGAAATGATGTCCTGAACTGGAAATTATTGCTGGACATTAAGTTCCTGCTTCTAGTTACCAGTTTCAAACGTCTATCTGTGATGGTACGACGATGCACCGGTACACATAGCGAGAATACTTTACACATCTGGGAGCATTTCTTTTAGTAAGACGACATCAAACCACATTCTGTAAACACTCGAGCAGCAGCGCTCTGCAGTGAAGGAGTCCAGATGCTGAACTGGCCCGAGTCATTATTTTTACACTTCAACACAACGCTGAGTCGACTTTTATTAAACATGGAGCCGGTGTAATTCTTCAAAACAATCATGAACTGTTTTCATAAAAAATGTTAATATACTCCTAATACGATTTGAAAATATTAGTATTTTGTTTTTAATTTACATTTTAAAAGGAGCATTCCAACTCATTGGAAACAAATTTCGGCTCAATCAGAACCACTAAAGGTGACCCAGCTTTATCGGTTCTGTCGTCCTCTGCAGCTGAAATCATCAAACCATCCAAATAAAGTCATTTTTCTCCCACTCCTCTTTTTTTAATATATACAGTAATCCCGTTTTTCAAAATAAGATTGGGCATGACATTGGCTGATTGATGGATGAGCCGCATGAAATTTATATTTAAAATAAATTATTTGAGATCATTTAGCACCTGCTGCACCTTTGTGCAGCCCATACTGTAAGATAAACTTCCTGCTGCAGCTGATCAGCTGTTCTCTGTGCAGAGCGGAGAAGTGGGCGTGGCCAAGAACGCTTGCAGGTGGCAAAGAGCAGAGGAGGCAGAGAGATGAAATCATGACATTCTGTGCTCTTTTAGATCTTTAGAGTTTAGAAACATTGTTTAGAATTTGCAAGCGTGTGTGGGAAGAGTTTTAAACACCTTTATATATATATAT